GCAGACGTTATTAATCGAAGATCGTTGACCGTAGCCAAAACGAACAATACAACTCTCTTTTAAAATCGGAATCCTAGAAGCTTGACCATCCCAGACTTTCAGGGACTTCTTAACGTTTAAATAAGTATCTCAGGCCTTTTGTTTCTGAAGAGAGCGTTGCACCAATATAGCCGTTTAGCAAGGGAGACTAGATGTCTCGTATTACTGTCTTTCAACAGTTAATCTCCGAAGGTTCATCACATCTCTCGCAGACTACGGACTGGACCCGACATCTCCCTCTGTTAGCCTACAATCTGGCTGTCTTAAGCATCCATAAATGACCACTGACATACCACCAGTGAAAGATTCCAGTATAATTAACATAATTTTATGCCCTTTCCATAAACTGTGGTTTAATCGTAGTGATTACTACATGGACCTCCATGTTTGGTGTCTGAAATGACTGCTTTACCCGTACCCAATGAAGCTTACTAATGGCACTGACATAGCAACCACAGACAATGGTTAACTCCTTTCAGGCTTTGTTAAAACAGGGCTGTCTCAATGCTTTATTTCTTATTTCATAATCCACCCGCACCCCAATCTGAGTGGTCACCGGTGCCATTTATGCTAATAATTCGCAAAAGATATCACGAAAAGTATCCGGTTATTTGTGAAAATATATCAAAGAACATCATGGATTCACCTGTCCCTAAATTCGTTTGAATGATCATTAGAAATAACTTTTTTTTCTGAGCCTTCGACCTGAAACATGATACAACCGAACACAGATTTCGCCAAACCTTATGTAGCAGCGTCACGTATAGAATTAGTGAGCCTAGGTGATAAGTTTGTTTATGTACCTCAGGAGTTGAGGCCCTCCTAACGACTAAATTTCTTTGAGAAGCATAATAAGACAAATTGCGAGAACTATCTGGCGTAAGCCTTGTCGACCTTATTTAAAAGAAATTTGCCATCCTCATTCTCAGGTTCTTTCAGTTTGTTTAAAAATCTAAAACGGCGTCGAACTAGCAGCGCCTGAACTCACCAACCATACATTCACATCTTGGCGCAGTCTTGAACAGCCATGTATGCTTTTTGGCTTCGTTGTAGCTTTAAATTCCCTGTCACAGATGATACAACTAGGTAGTATTCCGGCGAATATTTAAATTACGATCACGTTCGGCTGTTGCTACATTACTGTACGAGTTCTGGTCCGCAACTCCTCTTAACGTGTTTGGCATTTAGCATGGTGTTCGAGGTTATTTCTTCTCGGCCGGCCTGTTCAGGTACGTCTTTGCCTTGATGATGCCGAACTGGCCGACTATGCCAATTACATCTTCCTGCTCACGCCAAGTTTTTATAACACACAGAGTGTGTTGTTGTCGGTTATCGAGTTCGCTGTATTAGTTAGATCAGCATCATTGACCTCACTCTTGGGAATTGAGGGTTTTAATTTAATAAGGGGTACAGCTTCAGCTAGCTTTGGACGAAACTGCTGTCGAGCGAACAGAGCGAAAGAAAACTTTTCCACTTGAATATGCGAGCCAGCCATTGCTGTGCATTGCCCTCAGCAACTGTTGTTATTGACGACGGCGTTGCATGAGTATGGCTTTATCCTGAAGAGTAGAGCCGGAAATGTCAAACTACTTAATGCTGTCGTCACCTGTATCTGCTGTTTAGATTTTGGCGTTGGTAATGGCGGAGATTTTCTTTCTGAAGAGTGGGGGCCCATTGAGGTGGGGCGGTAGTTGACTGTATATGGAAGAGAAGGTAGCTTTCTAACGCTGAAAAATTTAAGCAACCACCCTACGCGTCTCACGAACGATGTTTCCCCAACTCTACACATGCCAGCTTTCAATGAAGTGATCTCGTATATAACATGGGTTCCAATGTCATAAAGGAAGGAACAACTGCATTGTGACTGTCCCTAACGAGAAACAGTCTTTTCCACAGACGCTGTCTGCATGGCGTGCAAGACCTTCGCCGACACCGGTATATCTTCCACTTTTCTAGAAGATCAGATTAGCGATCGTTTGTATACAAAATGTGAAACTAGCCCTTCAGAGTCCGCGCTATCACATCACCTCTCCTACACCGTAGGTTAAAAGTACTGTCAGGCATGGCGTCCTGCGTGACTTTTTAACGGAATCACATCCTGGTCGGTTTTTTGAGGTCCTAAGACACCTGGTACGGCAACCATCCGTTCTGCTGACGATGCGGACTTCATTTTCCGTTCAAGCCAGCTTAACGGCTATGGTGCCCAAACAAAGTTAACAAATATTGCTCATCCACTTTGCTCCTATGGTTGAGCATGTTTTAAAACCCAGCTACTTGAATGTTCCTTATTTGGTCGTTTTGTCGTGGGTCGAAAAGCGCTATAGAAGGTCCAATCAGTACTATTGAGCATTGCTAAAAGACACCATTTGGTGTTAAAAAATTTGTTCTTGCCGGCTCTGTGCCTTTTGGCATGCAGGAGCGTGAACCCGTAGCTGTGATTTCACCTTGTTGGACTGGAATTGTAAAAAAAGTCCCCCAGTGCCTATACTGTTGTCGTGCAATTACCTTTTTTTGCTCTTGATGGACTACCTTCTATTGGTTATTTAGGAGGACGATGAGGAGGACGCTGATAATGTTCCCGACGAATTAACTGAC